GAACCCTTTGTACGAACAAAAGTAAGAGAAATTTAGGATAAGAGTATGAACATGTTCTTGCATGAGGCCCAGTGGTTCTGTCCTCCTTTAAAACCAGCTGATAATTCTGCTTTTCTGCTCAGGATTACTGTGAAAATGGAAACGGGACGTTTTCCGTCAGAGTGGAAAGTGTGCCGTGTTGTGAAGAGGCGCTCACCTGTTCCCGCTCCATCATCCTGGACCTGCAGGTGTGATTTAGTGACTCGCGCTCTTCAGTAAATCACAGTAACCAGTGTTTTACCTGAACGTGTCTCTCCCGCAGGACAAAGTCACCCTGACGCTGAGTGACATGAAGGTGACCCAACACCCTTACGAGGGTTGGACCGCGGAGCAGGACCCGCTCTACACCACGCACACCGTAGGACTCTACGTCGTCGTCTCGGTGCCGAGCAAAGGCCTGACCCTGATCTGGGATAAACATACGAGGATCACCATCGAGCTGCTTCCGCGCTGGAGGGTGGGGAACGAGCAGACAAAATTCAACGCAAATACATATTCCAGTCTGTGACGTGTATATCCTTCAGATACAGAAAGTCAAATAAAACAACTTTATATTTAAGAAACTTTGCATAATAAACACGATTTTACTCATTTTGTCACATAAATGGCATATTTTCTTTTGAACTTGGCTCAGCTAAAGTGAAACAGGAAGTGACATCAAAGGGGAACGCTTTAAAAAAGACAACTCTGGTCTTTATTGAAACAAAATTTAAACTTTAACTGTTCTTCATCTCTRATGGTGACTCAAAATAATCTAAAGAAACATCAGATTCTTCTCTACAGTCTGTTAGTTATTGTAGCAACGCTCTGTTTACATGCAGACATTCCACTTTGACATCACTTCCTGTTTCTTCACATGCAAATATCTCAACAACTGTTCATCTCAGCAGTGTGAAATTAATTTTGCAATATGTTATTAATGTTATCTTTCCAAAAATCTGTTCATACTTATTACAAAAAATTGATGTCACAGGCACTTTAATGTAAATTTTATTTATTTTCACAAAACTATATTTGCTTTAAATGAGCACATTTTTTTAAACTTATAGGGTCTAAAACTAACTGTAAAGAAAATGACGTCTCTTCTTTAGAATAAAGTCTGCGGTCTCTGTGGTAATTTTGATTGCAACGAGATGAACGACCTGCAGATACGAGGCTCAGCAGGTGAGTTTTATCGTCACAGAAATACTTTTTTTGTTGTTTTTGTCGTCGTTGCTGAAACTGTTTTTTTTTTTAATAAGTGGTGAGCAGTCCGCTAGCTTTCGGCAACAGCTGGAAGTCTGCAGCTCCTCCTTGCTCCGACGTGACCACTGAGATATTTCCCTGTGAGCGAAACTCCTACTGTTGGGCCTGGGCCCAGCGGCGCTGCATGATCCTTATAGGAGACACGTTCAGGGACTGTCACTTCAAGGTGTTTCCTTGTGCCACTCCCAAACAGGAAGTCCTACAGATTTAATTAGAGGAGTGTAAGGATCAGAAAAGGTAACGCTGTAAAACTTGTGTACGGACTCAGGTGGATCCAGAGCCCTACTACCAAGCCTGCGTGCAGGAGTCCTGCTCCTGTGAGTTTGAGGGGAAGTTCCTGGGTTTCTGCACGGCTGTGGCAGCCTACGCCGAGGCCTGCAGCGACAAGGACGTGTGCGTCAGCTGGAGGACGCCTGATCTTTGTCGTGAGTTAAAATACTCTAAACAAAGCTGTCTTTCTGTTCTGTTTTTTTTTTCAAATACAACATTTAGACTTATAGTTATTTAGTTTTAGTTTTCTGAAAAGTTAAAGAGTGATATCCTAGCTCCAATGCAGAAATCACCCAAAAATCATGTTTCAAATGATGAGAGAGTAGGCTTTGATGCAAGTTTTAAAAGGTTTATTTTAAGCCCCAAAAACAGCTGACATTTCATAAACCTTTGAGTCAAGGCAGTCCGGACCCCGCGTTGACTGATCTAGACAAAGAAAACTGTCTAATTTATAAGATGGCCGTCTCCTCCTTCATGGTTGACCACTCCCTGATGTCCACCTCTTTCCTTCCTTTTTTGGGACATCCTCCATGATGTAATCTCTCCTTCTGCTCTTTGACGCCTCTCCATGGTGATCTGATTTCCTCCATTATTTCACCTTTTCATAACCCTTAATTTTTACACACTCATGAAAAAGTCTATATAGCTTTTAAAACTTTACAACATGTGACCTTATGTTTCAAAACGTGGATATATGGTGCTCACAGTATCTTGATTGCTTTTTGTCATTCAGTAGTCATGCATCTACTTCATACGGAAAACAAAACATCTTATTTGACTAAAAACAACTCTTATTATCAAACCATCTAATTTTATGAACATTATTACGATTCAGTACATAATCACCTGGGACTTGAATTTATTCATCAAAATTTGAGCTCACTTTAACAACTAAGACTGTTTCTAATCTGACTCTTCAGTCATGGACCTGCATAGACTGTATGGCCTTGGGACCATGTCCAAGAATTATTTAATACATGTTTACAACATTATATTTTACTAAATCAAGCTTCTAAGTCACACATCTTAATGATTATTGATAATTTTGATATAAATCACCCCTTATGAGATTAAATCACACATTTACTGACTACTCAGTACTAATTACTCTACTGATTTCCCTTTTTTTTGCTTATATGATTATACATTGCTAATATAATCCTACTACATTTCTTTCAGATTATTGTATAACTTCGGTTTTCAGAAAATTCTAATTTTGTGATGTTTGACTTTTTGTATGTAGCCCATCTGCTGAGGTAAAGGAGAGRTTGTAAAAATTGAGCAGTAGGTGTTACATTTAGTTTTGTTTTCAAAAACCGACGAGGCAACAGTGCCTTCAGAAACTCACAAGGAGAACCGAACAATGTGAATTATGTAATTCTGAGCTGGTGCAAGAAGAGAAACTGACAGGTAAAGTGGGCTGATGGGAAGAGTGGCTGCAGCTGTGGCAAATAAACGGTGCATACAAGCTGAAGGAAATACCAGAACTGAAAACACGAGTCAGACAACTCGTATGTTGCCATAAAAATAAAGATTTACTTTCTTTTCTGCCTTTCAGGGTTAATGTTTGTGGTTCTACAGGTTTGAAAGTCCTGATCTGGAAGTGAAATTAAAAATGTACACTTTCCCTCAGCGGTCTACTGTGATTACTACAACAATAAGGACGAGTGTACCTGGCACTACAAAGCCTGTGAACAGATGCTGATGTGTGGAAAAAACAATTTTACTCACAAACTGGAAGGTAAACAAATATTCTCAGAGTTTTATTGCATTTATTAATTATTTTTACTGTCTCAGTTTTTGTTGAAACCCATTTCACCATTTTTATTTTGTTGTTTTGGTCCAGGCTGTTACCCAAGATGTCCCAAAGAGGCGCCGTACTATGATGAGAACGTCGGTAAATGCACTCAGTTGGGAAATTGCTCCTGTTATTTCAACAACACGGTTGTTCCACCCGGTGAAACAGTGATAATTAACTCAGCTTTGTGGTGAGTTTATACTTTGGTGCAATATGCTGTAGATGTAACACCAAAGCAGAGCTTAAATATTGTTTTTGTTTATTCTACTCTCCTTTCGTCAAGCCCCTGTGAAAACGGAACTTTTAATTGCTGTAAGTATTTAAAAAATCATGTCCTGTGTTGATTATAGCCTCAAATATAACCTCTCAACTTATTCAAAAAGCGTGGATTATATAGATACGCCAGCTCAGAACTAAACAAAAATGCTAAATAGTCTAGGTAAATGTTTTTGGTTTTAGAAATCCTTTTACTAAATGCCTGCCTTAACCTCTTACTGCTACAGCAGTGAGTACTACAACTACAGTCTCCACATTAACAACGACATTCACCACTTCTGAAGCATATTCTCCATCCACAACTACTTCTCCTGTTGTCACTGGACCTACACCCAAACGACCAACTACATCTAGATTAATTGTAGAAACGACTGTAATGACCTCAACTGAGCAGACGACCTCAATAGGCCGCATCACAACTGTTCAGGTCAACTTTACGACTGAAGCTACGACGACGTCAACACAACTTACGACTGAATCCACTACAATGACACCAGTAACAACACAACCTACGACTAAATCTACCACGACACCGTCAACGCAACCTACAACTGAATCTACCATGACACCGGTAACAACACAACCTACGACTGAATCTACCATGACACCGGTAACAACACAACCTACGACTGAATCTACCATGACACCGGTAACAACACAACCTACGACTGAAT